TGGTGATGTACAGGGAAGTCTGGCATGCTGCAGTCCGTGAGGTCACAAAGAATTGGACATGACTGAGCAACTGAATGGAACTGAACTGAATCATGTTGCTCATCTGCTCAACTTTCCTAGTTTTAAAGTGAGCTCATTGAGAATAAAGTGCAAAGTTTTTTCCATTACTCTCAAGCCCTCCCTGCTCTGGCCCTTTCCTGTCATCCTAGGCTCATTTTCATCCAGGTTCCCTTCACGCACTCTGTTTTCTGTCTTTTTCTCATTCTTATATTATGGCCTTCATGTGTCATGTTTTCCATGGTATCTAGAATGTTCATTTTCTAGCTCTCCACACCTCATTTTTCAGGTTGTCTTCTTTAAAATGACTTTCCTAATTACTGCACTTACACAGGCACATACTTGGGCTTCCCGGTTGTACAGTGGTAAAGACTCTGTCTGCCAGTGCAGAAGACGCAGGCGACTCAGGTTCCATCACTGAGCCGGAGAATACCCTGGAGCAGAAAATGGCAACCCACTCCAGTATTCTTGCCTGGAAAATCCCATGGACAGAGGAGCCAGGAGAGCTGCAGTCCGTGAGATCACAAAGAGTCGGGCACGACTGACAGCACTCATTGCATGCACATATACATTGTCCTTGGTCCCTGTGAAGCATTTACTTTTAAATTTTTTACTTTGCACTTTTCATCACTGAAATCTCGTTACTTATTTCATTGTTTACTTGTTTATTGCTTGTCTCCATTCCTAGCTCTCAGTGTTTATAACTGTAAGTACCTATATGTTGAATGAGCGGATGCTTTTCCATATTCTGATAAATGAAAGAATAATAATTGAGGATGTGAATTATTTTCACCTGTCAGGGATTCAGATGGAACAGCATCTTTTTAGTGGCCTCAACTGTTTATCTTCTATCAGGGATTGCAGTCTTGTGCTATTGTTCAATATCTGAAAACCATTGTGTGTATATATATATATACATATATATATATATATACATACACACACACAATATGTGTATATATGTATATATATATATATATATATACTATACATATACTATATACACATATGTATATATATAGTTGCTGTTGTTGAAGACAAAAAAAGTAAGTCTGGTCCCATTTCTCTATCTTGATGGGAATTAATTGTGCATGTCTGATTTTTATGACTTCACATGTTTGTACTTTGTATGGACTTTCACAAGTGGAGAGCATCTTACCTAAAGGCAATTAATGCAGATCACTGTGTCCTTTGTCCATTTGTCTCCAGGTTCTGAATATCTAAGTCACTGTGCTGCCATCTTGGGACACCATGCATGATAATAGAAATTCTATGAATACACATTTAGAAGGGTCTAATAGCATTTCCTGAGTTTTTCCCCAGGGCCCACCTCTTTTATATCATATCTGATTGGTTGAAGAATCAGGACAGATCCCAGAAGAGAGATTTCTGGGAGACCTATAATCCAAGATGTGACTAAACCCTAAACGGTGCTTTGAACAATTCTTGCTTATTTATTACTAAACCAGATAGATTGTTTTAAATCTGAAAGCTAGAAAAGAGAACAAGCTAAGTTAATATCTGCATGAATTTAGTTGTCCTGAGTCAACACAAGATCTTTATTGCAAGAAGAGTTACTCTCTTCCCAACTTGGAGATATATTTAAATGATAAAATTGAATAGAAGTGGATATTTATTCAATGGATCTATACTTGGAAGGCAGCTAGGCTCACCACTATAACACCAACCCTGCTCAGCCCTATACTTGGAAATTTGGAATGGTTCAAAACAATAAGAAATATTTTCTATAGAAAATCAAGCTTCTATCAATTTCTAGGCAAACTGTTTCAACTTAAATATCCTGGAATTGTGTTTCTACAGACTGAAAAGTGATAATTAGATATGAATCAATCTACTAGCACTTACCATTTCTATTTTCATTTTGAACAAAACAAATTTTCTCTATCAGTTAAAAGGCTGGAAATGGGTGATTTTATTACACCATAGAAAATTCTGTGTTATTTAATCCTTTGTGTAGTGAAAGGGAAACATATAAAGAACTTTGAAAAACACTTTGCTGTTGGTAATTGTTCTGCTATATGATGCCAATTTCTGCATTCAGACCTGGTCTGGAGCCAGGAAATTGTATATGAATACTCCTAATGTATTTTTATTATACTTAGAGAAATAAGGCATGAAGAACATAATGATACCCTGGAAGGAGTGGGGGAAAAAAGCAATGTAGACTGAAAAACCAATTCTAACATAAATGAGGGATATCAACCAGTGAATTTTTTAATAATGTAACTTGAGTTTAGGTGTAAATAGAGTATTGAAAGTTAGTGTTCCACGTTGCTAGGTTAACCCTGATGGCTTGAAATCAGTGTCTAGCTTTTAGGTTCTAGCTTTTGACTTGGATTAAAAGCCTTACTGAAGTATTTTGGTTAATGAGTTTAGAAGACTTGTGAAAATCTCATTTATCAGAAGTCTCTGGGGGACACTTGCTATTGGTTGGGTAGGAAAGAGAGGGACAGTTACCATAGGGAAAGAAGGGAAAAATGATTTTCTCAGTCAAACTTACACATGGACCAATCTCCAAATGATAAATCCAAGTTTCCCTAAAAATATTTCCATGACACCAGAACAAAATGTGAATTATACACTTTTATTCAAGAAATGTATAAATATATGATATGCAGGAACTGTGTTTCAGTCATTCTTCTAGATATTAATATTTTCAAAGCATCAGTTAAAAGCAAAAATCCCTATAATTCCTGCTCTCTTATTTAGATCCTATTAGGGGATACACACACCATAAAAATAAACATAACTGAATATATTACAAAGTAGAGAAAGTGAAAACAACTTTGGGAAAAATAATAGTGAGCAGAATGGGGGCAATCCAGCTGGATGCATTGTCACTGATGTCTGAGTAGTCTCAACTCTTTGTGACCTTATGGACTGTAGCCTGTCAGCCCTCTGTCCATGGGATCCTCCAGGCAAGAATACAGTTGCCATGCCCTCCTCCAAGGGATCTTCCCAACCCAGCATCTCTTGCACTGAAGGTGGATTCTTTACCACTGAGCCACCGGGGAAGCCCTTGATCATGCCTTGTGGGGTTTCATTGGTGGCTCAGGGGGGCCTGCAATGCAAGAGCTATAGGAGACGTGGGTGGGTTTGATCCCTGGGTCAGAAGGATCCCCTGGAGGAGGGAATGGCAACCCACTCCAGTATTCTTGCCTAGAGAATCCCGTTGACAGAGAAGTTACCTGTCTCTTATTTTCTGTTTTGTTTCCTTTATATAATTTTTTTTACTATGATTCTTCTCTTGCTTATTCTTATTCACCCATCTTATAGTTTGCCAATCTGTCTTATACTTTGTTCAGTCTGCTGGAAAACTCATTTAATGTTTTCTTAATTTTTAAGAAATGTTTTCTTAATTTTTAATTTTTAAATAAATTATGCTTTTTTTCACCCTTCATCCTTTTCTACTAGTTGGTCAACTTTTCCTCTAGTATCTGAACCACATGAGCATCTTTTTTTCCTTTCTTCTTAGCTTTAGCAAACCTACTGTGTCTTATCTGTTAACATGCCTCATAAGTTTAGATACTGAAGATAAACACAAAATGAACTATAGACGATCTGTTGATTTCTTTTGTTGACTAAAAGAAATGCACAACATGAGAGATAAGTTTTATTTGGGGCAAAATGTAGCTTGTGGCCCAGGAGACGGCACCTCAGATAGCTCTGAGAAACTGTTCCAAAGAGGTAGTGAAATCAATATATGTGATTTTGGTGAAAGGGGAGTTCATGCAATCAAGCACTTATCCTATGAAATGTTTTCTGCTAGTCGCAAGGAGCTGATGTCACCATGAAGGGATTTAGTGTTTTTCTAGACATGAAGGGATGCAAAGATTGGGATCATGAAGTCAATTTCTGAAAATATCTATCTAAAGACCTGTTCCACCAGTTTTCCTGGAGCACAGAGTGCCTCATTTTCCACCCTGGATTCTCTTCAGGTTGTGTTCAAGGTCACCAGCTGCAGCAGCACAGAATTCAATCTACAGAGGCAGATGGCAAATAGCCTTGGCAAGTGCCAATATGTAATTGACACTTTCAAAGACAACTATTTATTTATTTTGGGGGGAGCAAGTAGATAAGTCCTGCTGAAGTATGATTGAAAGTGAAAGTTGCTCAGTCGTTTCCAACTCTTTGCAACTCATGGAATTCTTCATGGAATTCTGCAGGCCAGAATACTGGAGTGGGTAGCCTTTCCCTTTCTCCAGTGGATCTTTCCAACCCAGGGATCAAACCCAGGCCTCCTGCATTGCAGGCGGATTCTTTACCAGCTGAGCCACAGGGGAAGACCTTGTGTAGGTGAATTCATTCAAGTCTGATGATTGCCGTGGTATGCTGGAAACTTAAAATTCATATTTCCACCGCAGGCCCCACTTCTAAGTTTCACAACTTAGGACTAATGGCCTACTCAATAGCTCCACTTGGATGCCTCGCAGGGTTTTCCAGATTTAGTATGTCTAAAATGGAACTAGTTTTGTGCTGTATGCTGATCTCCCTCTACTTTCCAAGTTCTTCCTCTCAGCACAGGGCAGACTTCACACCTCTCCTCTGTAACTCTTGCCAGCCACTTGGGAATGATCCTTGATTCCTCCTTTTCATTTGAATCCACCAGGTTTCAGTAGCTCACCTTTTGATCACACTTTCAGCATGATAAGGTCCATCTCTTTGCTGGCTAGTGACCTTAATTTGCTTTGTCCTGGGCCAAGTGCATTGTTCTGGAGCCTTTGGAGTCTTTTTTTATTATAGAGCATATAAGGGTATGGGTTTCCCAGGTGGTTCAGTGGTAAAGAATCCACCTGCCAAGCAAGAGATGTGGGTTCCATCCCTGGGTCAAGAAGATCCCCTGCAGAAGAAAATGGCAGCTCACTCCAGCATTCTTGCCTGGGAAATCCCACAAACAGAAAAGTCTGATGGGCTACAGCCCATGGGATGGCCAAAAGAGTTGGACATGGCTTAACCACTAAACAGCAACAACAATGCAAGGGTATAGGGGATTGAAACCCTGAAATCTCACTGTACAGCAAGCAACATAGGACAGACACAGAAATTGATAGGCAAGACCAAAGTCGTCAAATAAAGTTTAATTTGTGTTCTCTATGCTTTTATAAGACATTTTGCACATTTAATGGTTCGTTTTTAAATAATTTATTGGCAGCTTTAGAATTTGGAGGCTAATTTTCTGTAGATTCTATAAGGCTTGTCTTACGGAAAATAGTCACCATCACATAGAATTGTATTTACAATCTGTGAAACTACTGCTAGCTAGATAAGCTACCAATTTATATTGCATAAGCTGAAATCTTAGGCTTCTTTTAGTCATGGATAATTGGGGGTTTTAGATGTATGCATGCCATCTAGTCTAGTCAATGTCTTAAAAGTTAGAATACTTATTAGGAAGAATAATATGTTTTAACTAATGAGAAATGGTCTAAGTAAAATTCTACTCATATTTTATATATTTTCTTCTGAACCTCTAGTCACAGCACAGTACCCATTGGAATATCATTGATCTGCTCTATCTTCACTTTCCTCGCATATGACATAGTGATGATATTAGTGCCTGCCTCATAGGTTGCTATGAAGCTTAAGTGACTTAGTACTTATAAGGTGCCTAAAGCAGTGCTTAGCCCAGGACAAACATGATAACCGTTTGTTAAGTAAATAAAGTGTTCCTAGCGTCTCCTTGTTGGTTTCTCTATTGTTTTGTGAAAGAACTAAGGAGCCAGGAACCTTGGATTTTTACCTCAGAGGTGTCATTGCTTAGCTGTGTGGCCTCAGTGAGACTTAATTTTTAGTGGCATTTACTGTAACATGGTAAGTAACACTTACTAGATCCTTTTCTTGTGCCAAATACTTCATGAAACACTTGACCTAATTATCTCATTTAATTCTCACAACTACCTTGAGATACGTGGTAAAATAATAACCTTCATTTCATCTCAGGCTTAGAAAAGATAAAAACTTACCTGAAGTCTCACATAGAGTAACTGTGGTAACAGGCAACCTGTCCATTTCCAGAGCGCAGAGCTCCAATCACCTCTCTGAGATCCTGAGCCTCGCTGTTCGTTCTTTCCCAGTGGCTGCTTGTTTCTTACTTACAGAGCATTCAGGCATTGAGAAGCAAGCCCAGCTGCAGCCAGGCCTCTGCCTCTGCCAACTGTCTTGTTGCTTGAGATGGTCTCCATGTCCGGGTGAGACATGTCCCTTGCCTCCTGGTGCAGGCTGGGGCCCACCCACTTCAGCGGTTCACTAGTTCTCTCCAGAGATGAGCCCAGGTGGGCCTTTGTTCCCTGGCTTTGGCTCTTCTCTGTCCCTGCTTTCTTTCTAGGATGCCTTTGTAGTTTTAACAAAAATCATGCAGACTCAAAGCCTTGTGTTGCCTCTCTGGCAGTTTTTCTCTGCACTGAGTCTT